GGCTCTGTCTCCGACTCATTGACATGGTGGCACCATTCGCCGCCCGGCACCGCCAGCGTGTCGAAGGGCCGCCAGTCGAAGCGGGTCTCGCCCACGACGCTGTGCCCGCGCCCTTCCAGCGGCGAGACGAGACAGTTTCTCGCGCCGCGGTCTTCAGAGAGCGCTGCGTCTTTCTGCGCTCCGGCCCGCAGCATCTGCCGCGAGAAGGTCATCGTCCTGAACACCGGGCCGCCGCGCGTCGGGTCGACATACTCGACCATCAGGGCCTCGTAGGGGTCGCCGTCGTGGTCGCGGTGCGCCTCCAGCATCGCGCGCATCGGCTCCCAGCGACATAAGCGTACATCGCGAGTCGTGGCCGCTAAGCGCTAGAAGTACATCTTCCAAGCCTCCGTGCGGCACGAAGCACGGCATCAGGCCGCCGCTGCCGTAGACTTCGGCCGAATAGTCGGCGCTGAAGCGGGCGGACTGCTGCTTGGCGGTGACCTCGCGGCCGTCGCGCTCTTCCCTGTAGTCGTGCTCGAAATAGACGTGCGTTCAGCACCTCGACCAGCGGCAGATCGAGCACGGAGAGGTTCACCGCCGGCTCGTCGCCCTTGTTGCCGTGATTGTGCCAGGTGTCTGCTGCAGACAACCATGTCGCCGTGGGCCGACACAGATGTCCTCCGCGCCTCATCGACCCTCGGTGGAAGTGTCACGCGAAGCCCCGTGAGCCCGAGGCGAATGGCGTTGGGCGAATGGCGATGGGGCGGCATCACCTCGTTCGGATCGTTGAGCCGGTAGGCGCTGTACATGGTGGAGACCGTAGCCCGCGTGGGCGCGAGACCGGGATTGACCAGAATCAGCGAGCGACGCTCGGAATCCGCCATCGAGACGAGCTCCGCGGAGCGTGGAGCAGGGGCTCGATCTCGCTCTCGTAGCGCCAAGATAGGGGACGGGCCTGCGGCTCCCCATGAGCTGCTTGATCTCGTCGTGCGCGACATCGGTGGTGGTCGCCCAGAAGGGAAACATGTGGCCGCGGTGGAATCGTCGTAGAGGGCGGCGAGCGCCGCGTCGCGATTGCCCATCTCGGTCCCCGCCGGCCTGCGCCTCGCTCATGTTCGCCTGCCGTCTCTCTTGGCCGCTCGTCGGAGGCGGCCTTCTCTGGGGCCGCCTAGACTATGTGGCGCGTTCTTGTCCGGCAACCGGGCAGACACCGAGGCAGGCTGCATTCGAATGCGAAAATCCGAAACGGCTCCCGTCGTGGCCTGGTGCGATCCTTACCGAATGGAATTGTGTGGAAACATATTTGACTATACATGTTCACATATGAGAACGAGCATCGATGTCAACGACGCGCTGCTGAAGGCCGTCAAGGCGCGTGCGGCGGAAGAGCACATGACCTTGAAGGAGACCTTCGAGCAGGCGCTCCGCGAATATCTGACTGGCCCGTCCGGCGCCAGGACCGACGCACCGCCCATTCCGACGTTTCGCGGCAATGGCGTGCAACCGGGCGTGGACCTGACGGATAACGGCTGCGCATGCCGTCCTCATGATTCAGAGCCACTGAAGGTCAACGTCCCCTGGTGGAGTGTGTTCCGCGGGACGCGGTCCTCAACTGATCGGCTGCACAGCAGATGGCTGGTCGATGCCTTGGCGGGCAGGGAACGCGTTGCCTTGTCGGAACTCGTGCTCAGCGGCGTGCTGCGGGTACTGACCCACGGCCGGGTATTCCACCCGCCTACGCCCAACGATGCGGCCGTTGAAAACAAAATTTCGTTGAATGCGCCTGCGTTCTGCTCAACCGGGGAGCGTGACGTTGCGACCCGGCGACGGCCACTGGCGCATATTCCGCGGCATGGCCGTCACACTCCGGCTCACCGGCAATCGGCTTCCGGATGCCTACCACGCGGCGCTCGCTATCGAGCACGGCTGCGAGTGGGTGACTCTGGATCGCGGGTTCTCGATCTATCCGGGGCTGCGGACCGTGAATCTTCTCGACGATTGAAGGAGACAAAGCCCTTGGCCTGCTCCGGGATGGCGCGCTGTTAGCGCAGACTTCTCGGCACGGTCACGGCCTGCGACTCCTCTCGGCAAGCGGACGCGCATTATCGGGCGATACCCAAGAATACAAGCATCGCCCGGTCGATCCGTCGCATGTCGGTGACGGAGAGGGAGCCGATCCGCCGGACCAGGCGCTCCCGGCGGACAGTGGTGATCTTGTCGATCGAACCTATGAGATGCGGAGTCCATCGTGCAGGCCGTTCTCTCCTCTCGATCGGCGAAAGCAGGATGCGAAACAGCGGGGCATCGGTCGGATCGCTGGTCAGGGCGCAGACGGTCACGGAACCTGTGGCCTCGAAACGGTCGTCCTGCACGATGACGACAGGCCGGGGCTTGCCCGGTATAGTCGCCGCCGCCCGCCGCGACCCACAATTCGCCCCGCTTCACTCACACCCGGCGTCGACCTCGCTGATGGCGTCGATAAAGGCCTGATCGGCTTCGGCGTGCCTGCTGACGGCAACCGCCAGCGCTTGTCTGCGTGCCTCTTCCGGGAAGCCCGGCGCCCGGGTGAAAAAAGGTGGGGAGACGTAAGGTAATAAAAAACAAGAATGGGAAAGAAAAAGAAGAAATCACAGAAGGATCTGACGATTTGGTAGAAAACAGAAGTTTAGGAGGAAGGAGAAAAAATGAAGGAAATAAGAAGTGAAATGGGAGAGCGAAGGGGAGAGGTTATGAAGAAAGAGGAGAGATTTGAAGAAGACATTGGGTGAAAGAGAAAAAAGGAATTAGGGAGGATTGTAGAGGATGCTTTCCTTTCCCCCCTGCTTTTCCTCTTCTCCTCCCTTGCTCCCGCAGTCGGGCGCGGTGCCGGCGAACCTTGTCCCGCGCTGCCATCGATCTCTGAGGAGTGTTCGCCATGGATCGTCCTTCGCAAAGTTACATGTAACTTACTCTCGTTCGTGGCGTCGGGCAAGCACGGGGAGTCGCCGTCCGGGCCTGTTGGCCCGACTCACTCGATATCCGGGACCATGGTGCGATGCATGGCGCACGCCGACTGCGTTAGCACTGCGTCATGCAGTGCAACAGTGAATGGACCCCGACATGCGAGATGAAAATGCGTGCGCGGCTCTATCCCGCGCGAACGATGCTATGTGACGCGCGCTATGTGACGCGCGTGACCTTTCAGGCACGCGCGACTTGGGCGTGCGCGAGGCCGCCGTCGCCACCGCTATCGAGCACGGCCGTCGCCTGTGCCGCGATGTGCCACTCTGTGCCGCTATATCCCGCTTTGTCCCGCTTTATCCCGCCAAATCCCACTTACAAATTAGTCTTGCGCACCGCGCGAATCGCGGGCGGCGCGACGCAGGCCGTGACCGTGGTGAGATGTCCGGCTAGGGTCCGCGCGGTCGCGGGCCGCTGGCATTCGTGCCATCATCGCCCGAGGGGCATATCGCCCCGGCGGTGCGGTACGAGAGAGGGGAGACATGGGGCGCAAGGTCATCATCACCTGTGCAGTGACGGGCTCGGCGGACACCGTGGCCAAGAACCCGGCGGTGCCGGTGACGCCGACCGAGATCGCGCAGTCCGCGCTCGATGCGGCGAAGGCGGGTGCTGCGATCGTGCACGTTCACGTCCGCGATCCCGAATCCGGGAAGGCCAGCATGGAGCTCGACCATTACCGCGAGACCGCCGGCCGCATCCGCCAGAGCGAAACGGACGTCGTGCTGAACCTCACCACCGGATACGGCGCCCGCCTCAGCCCCGGGGTCGACGATCCCTTCGACTACGGCCCGGGCACCACCTTCACGTCCCGGCACGGCGAATCTGCCCATGTCGGCGAGCTGCGGCCCGAGATTTGCAGCCTCGACGTGGCGACCATGAACTCGGGCGGCGTCCGCGACGACAGCGTCATGATCAACTCGCCGCCCCAGCTCCGCTACATGGCCGATGCCATGCGGGAGTGGGGCGTCGTGCCGGAGCTCGAAGTCTTCGACGTGGGCCATGTGAGGCTTGCCGCGAACCTGATCGAGAAGGGCCACGTCGAGTCGCCGGGCTTCTTCCAGCTCTGCCTCGGGATCGAATGGGGTCGCACCGGCGACGCCGGAGGCGCTCTCCTACATGAAGAGCCTGCTGCCGGCCGGCGCCCACTGGGCTGCCTTCGGCATCTCGCGCGACCAGCTTCCCGTCGCGGGCCTCTCGGTGCTGAGCGGCGGTCATGTCCGCACGGGGCTGGAGGACAATCTCTATGTGGAGCGCGGCACCCTCGCGCCCTCCAACGCGGCGCTGGTGGAGCAGGCGGTGAGCCTGATCCGGATGCTGGGGGCGGAACCCGCGACGCCTGCGGAGGCTCGCGAAATTCTTTGTACGCGCAACTGAGTCGGCCAAAGCACCCCGCACCCCCGCAGCGGGTGCATAACACCCGGCGCCGGTGTAGGAATCGCGCCGGAACGGCGACGAGGATAGAGGGCTCATGATCCCGCTGATTGACATCGAACCCTTCCTCCTCGGCTCGGCGGCCGACAAGGTACGCACGGCCGAGGCGCTCGACGACGCCTGCCGCGAGTTCGGATGGCTGGTGGTCGCGGGGCACGGGGTGCCGAACGCGCTGATCGAAGAGATGCACGCCGTCTCGCGCGCCTTCTTCGCGCGGCCCCACTGGGAAAAGATGAAGCACAAGATGCCGGCTGACCGCTACCGCGGCTACACGCCGCCGGGGACGGAGAGCCTGGCCTACAGCCTCGACGAGGAGGGCCCGCCAGACCTGAAGGAGGGCTACAGCATGGGGCCGGTGGATGCCGCCTGTGACGAGTATCACTACGGCCCGGCCGGCGCGCGCTATTTTGCCCCCAACATCTGGCCGGACCGGCCCTGACGACATGCCCAGGGTCTGGGAAGCCTACTACCGCGAAATGAGCCGGCTTTCCGCCGACATGATGCGGATCTTCGCTGTGGCGCTCGACATGCCCGAGGACTTCTTCCAGCCCAAGATCGACGAGCACATCACCAATTTCAGCGCCATCTACTATCCGTCGCAGCCGGAGGCGCCGCTCCCGGAGCAGCTGCGCGGCGGCGCGCATACCGACTACGGCAGCCTCACGCTGGTGCATTGCGACACCGCCGTGGGGGGCCTGCAGATTCAGACGGAAGACGGCGCGTGGGAGGACGTGCCCTGGTTCCCGGACAGCTTCTCGGTCAACCTCGGCGATCTCATGGCCGAATGGACCAACGACCGCTGGCGCTCGACCATGCACCGCATCGGCAATCCGCCCCGCGACAAGGCGCATCTCGATCGGCTGTCGCTGATCTTCTTTCATCAGCCCAACTATGACGCGGTGGTCGAGTGCCTGCCGAGTTGCGTCAGTGCCGACAATCCGGCGCGCTACGGTCGTACGACCTCGGGCGATCACATCACGATGAAACTGACAAAGCAGCGCGCGCCGGGGCTCGAAGCGGTGGAAGCCGACAAGTCCCAAGGCCGCCCCAAAGCGTGGCTGTACCCGCCTGAGGCGGACGAGCACGCAGGCTGAGGCTCGACCGTTATCCTCACCCGAATGTGATTGGCGTTGCGAATTCGTCAGGCGTGGGCGTGCTACGATGCTGCCATGACTAAGAGAATGAACCTTGGCGCTATCCTTATCGCCGCGGCCCTCGCGGTGGTGCCGCTCTCGGTGCGGGCGGACAGCCCGAAGGTTGTCCTGGAACTGTTCACGTCCCAGGGCTGCTCGTCGTGTCCGTCTGCCGATGCGTTCCTCGGGGAGTTGGCGGAGACCCGCGACGATGTGGTCGCGCTCTCGTTCCACGTCGACTACTGGAACTACATCGGCTGGGAGGATCGGTTCGCGACGGCGGAGACGACGGCGCGGCAGAGGGACTACGCGCGTGCTCTCGGCGTCGCCTATGTTTACACACCCCAGCTCGTGATCGACGGGGCGCGCCATGCGGTGGGGTCCAACAAGCAGGCTGTGACCGACGCGATCGCCGTATCGAAGGCCGTGAAAGCGAGGCGGGTAGCCGTGGCGCTCACATCAAGCGCGTCCGACCGCCTCACGGTCGAAATCGGCCACTCCGATGGCTACTACGGGGACGCCACGGTCTGGCTTGTGTCCGTCGATCGGCAGCATACGACGACGGTCGATGCCGGCGAAAACCGGGGGCGCACATTGGTCAATTATAACGTGGTGCGCGATTACCGCCCCATCGGGAGGTGGACCGGCGGCGCCATGACCTTCGAGCTCGGGCCGGACGAGCTGTCAAGCGCGGCCGAAGGCATGGGCGACGGCTGCGCCGTCCTCGTCCAGGAAAATCGCGGCAAAGGCCGCATCATGGGCGGGGACCTGGTCTGGCTCGACGAGAGCTGAGGGGTCGCTCCGGCTTCTGGGGACGCCGGGACGCCGGGCGGGCCAATTCTGTTGCTCCGCGAGCGCGACTGTCACTCCGTGAGCGCGCGCGATATGAGCCCCGAAAGGCGCTTGGTGAAGGCCGAAGGGTCGGGGACCGGCTCGCCCTCCAGGATCAGTGCCTGATCCATCAACAGATGGGCGGCGTCCTCGAGCGCCTCCGTCGCTCCCTTTTGCCCAACCATGCGCGCCAGCGCGCGGGTCAGATCGTGTGACGGGTTGATCTCGAGCACACGCTTTTGCGCCGGCACCTCGTGCTTATGTTGGCGCAAGAGCCGCTCCAGGTGCATGTCGAGGTCGCCCTCGTCGGCGACGAGGCAGACAGGGCTGTCGGTCAGGCGTTCGGAGGTCCGCACGTCCTTCACCGCGTCGGCCAACGTCAGCTTGACCAGGGCGATCAGCTTGTCGATCTCGCCTGGCGGGGGTGCGTCGGTCTCATCCGGCTTGTCCTCGTCGCGCACAGCGAAGCGGTCGAGGTCCGCGGCACCCTGGGTCACGGAGCGGAACGACTTTTCCTTGTAGGCGCCGACCACCGGCAGCCAGAACTGATCGACCGGGTCGGCCATGAGCAGCACGTCGATCCCGCGCGCACGAAAACCCTCGACCTGCGGGCTGCGGCGCAGCGCATCGGGGTCCTCCCCGCTGATGTAGTAGATCGCCTCCTGCTCCTCCGGCATTGAGTCCACATACTCGTCGAGCGAGAGCCAGCGATCGCCGCCGCCCGTGGACCGGAAGCGGACGAGGGGAAGCAGCCGGTCCTTCTGCTCGGCATCTTCGTAGAGCCCTTCCTTCAGGACCGCCCCGAAATTTCTCCCAGAACGACGCATACTCCTCCGGCGTCTTCTTGGCGCGCTTCTCGAGTTCGGAGAAGACGCGCTTGACCAGGCCGGTCCTGATCTTCGCCAGGATCGGGTCGTTCTGAAGGGTCTCGCGGCTCACGTTGAGCGCAAGATCGCTGGAATCCACCACGCCCCGGACGAAGCGGAGATAGGGCGGGATCAGCCCCTCGCACTCGTCGGTGATGAAAACTCTCCTGACATAGAGCCGAACCCGGTGCTGGCGTATCGGTTCGAACAGATCGAAGGGCCTGGAGTCCGGCACGAAGAGAAGCGCCGTGTATTCGATGCGCCCTTCGGCATGGAGGTGGATGGTGTGCCAGGGATCGCCCGGCATGTGGGCGATGTGGTGGTAGAACTCGCGGTATTGGGCCTCGTCGATGTCGGTCTTCGGCCGGCTCCAGAGGGCCGAGCCCTCGTTGACCATCTCCTTCTGGCCGCTATCGTTTTCCAGCCAGATCGGGAGGCCGATGTGGTCGGAGTAGGCCTTGACGACGGTGCGGATGCGGAGCGGTTCCAGGAACTCGCGGTCGTCTTTGCGCAGGTGAAGCTCGATCCTTGTTCCGCGGGCGGCGTCGGCCTCCGGCGCGATCGAGAACGATCCGGTTCCGTCGGACCGCCAGCGCCAGCCCTCGGCCTCGTCGGGCTTGCGCGTCACCACCTCGACCCGCTTCGCAACCATGAAGCACGAATAGAAGCCCACACCGAATTGGCCGATGAGACCGGCGGCGAAGCCATCCTGCCCGTCCTGCTCGTCCTGTCCGTCGCCGCCGTGCGACTCGGCCATTTGCTTGACGAACGCCTCGGTGCCGGAGCGTGCGATCGTCCCGAGGTTGTCGATCAGCTCTTCGCGGTTCATGCCGATGCCGTTGTCGGCCACCACCAGCACGCCGCTCTTGCTATCGGGCGTAATCGTCACCGCGAGCGCAGCGTCGTCGCCCAGCAGATCGGGCTGTGTGATCGCCGCGTAGCGCAGCTTGTCGCAGGCGTCCGAGGCATTGGAGATCAACTCCCGCAGGAAAATCTCCTTGTCGCGATAAAGCGAATTGGCCATGAGGCCGAGCAGCTTGCTGACTTCGGCCTGGAACGCGTGGCGCTCCCCGTTCGTTTCCGCCATCACTTCCTCCGATTCGCCCGGACTGCTGGGGACTCGGGGCGCTATATGTGACGAACCCGCGGGCGGTTCAACCCCGGGCACGTCTGTGAGAGGGGGTGTGAACGGGGTTGCTAAATCGGTCGCGAGCGCCAATCCTCCCGCCATGGCTCGGCACGACGCCGAAAACGCCGCCGTCACCGCGCTGCTCGGCCCGACCAACACGGGCAAAACCCATCTGGCGGTCGAGCGCATGTTGGCCCACCGCACCGGCATGATGGGCTTCCCGCTCCGCCTCCTCGCGCGCGAGGTCTACGATCGGGTGGTCGAGGCGAAGGGTAAGGGCGCTGTCGCTCTGGTGACGGGCGAGGAACGGCGGATCCCCCGAGCAGCCGCGCTATTTCGTCTGCACCGTCGAATCGATGCCGCTGGACAGGCAGGTCGAGTTCGTCGCGGTTGACGAGATTCAACTCGCAGGCGATCGCGAGCGCGGCCACATCTTCACCGATCGCCTGCTGCGCGCCCGGGGCACGGCGGAGACCATGTTCCTCGGTGCAGACACCATGCGCCCCCTGATCCGAACGCTTGTGCCCGAGGCGCGGTTCACGAGCCGACCCCGGCTTTCAACGCTCGCGCACGAGGGGCATTGCAAGCTGGCCCGGCTCAAGCCCCGGAATGCGGTCATCGCCTTCTCGGCCGAGGCGGTCTACGCGCTTGCCGAGCGCATCCGCGGGCTGAGGGGCGGGTGCGCCGTGGTGCTGGGGGCGCTCAGCCCGCGCACCCGCAATGCACAGGTCGGTCTCTACCAGGCGGGCGAGGTGGACAGCCTGGTCGCGACGGATGCCATTGGCATGGGGCTCAACCTGGACCTGGATCATGTCGCGTTCTCGGCCTACCAGAAGTTCGACGGCCGCTCGATGCGGATGCTCACGTCCGCTGAGATTGCGCAGATTGCCGGCCGCGCAGGCCGCCACCTTACGGACGGCAGCTTCGGCACGACCGGCGGGGTCGAGTCCTTCGACTCGTCCCTCGTACAAGCGGTCGAGGATCACCGGTTCCCGCCGGTCCGCAGGGCCTACTGGCGCAACGCCGCGCTTTCCTTCGAGACGCTGCCAGCGCTGCTCGATTCGCTGGCCGCGCCGCCGCCGCTCCCTGGCCTCCAGCGAACCCACGATGCGGACGACCACCGTACGCTGCTCACGCTCGCCCGTGACCCGGCAATCGCAGAGACACTGACCGGTGCCGATCGCGTCGCGCTTCTCTGGGAGGTCTGCCAAATCCCCGATTTCCGCAAGACCATGACGGAGGATCACGTCGGCCTCGTGCGCCGGATTTACCTCTCCCTGGTCGAGAGTGGCCGACTGCCTCCGGAATGGGTCGGTCGCTCGATCGAGCGGTTGGCGCCCACCGAGGGCGACATCGATACACTGACAGCCCGCATCAGCCATGTTCGAACCTGGACCTACGTGTCACATCGCACGATTGGGTGGACGATGCGCGCGGCTGGCAGGAGCGCACCCGGTCGCTCGAGGACGCGCTCTCCGACGCGCTCCACACACAGCTGACCCAGCTCTTCGTCAGTCGCAGGGCGCGACTGCCCCGTAACGGCGGGCGGATCGACGAGACGCTCTTCGCGATCGTCGGCGACAGCGGCGCGGTCATGGTGGAGGGCGAGAGGGCGGGGGTCTTCGACGGCTTTCGCTTCCGGCCCGATGCGGAGGCCGAGCGGAGCCGGGGTGTGCTCGCGGCGGCCAATCGTGTGGTCGAGCGCGAAGTGGCGCGGCGGGTTGCCGCAGCGGTGGCGGATGCCGACGATGCGTTCACGCTCGGACTCGAGCCAGGACGGCAAGACGCGCCGCGATGGGGCGAGATCGCCTGGGGCGGCGCCTGCATCGCTCGCCTCGGTCGGGGCGACACGCCGCTCAGACCGACCATCGCGCTCGTCGGCGAAGACCATCTGAGCGCAGCGCAGCGTGAGCGCGTACGGCGCCGTCTTCAGTCTTGGCTGGATCACCGTCTCTCGCGCGGCGCAGGCCCCTTGTGTCGCTGCGCGAGGCGGCGCTGGACGGCACTGCCCGCGGCGTCGCGTTTGCGTTGACCGAGGCGCTCGGTTGCCTGCCCCGGCGCGCGCTTGCTCCTCAGATCGCCGCGCTCGACAACGCGGGCCGGCACGGGCTCGCCCAGGCTGGCGTGCGGCTCGGCGCGCTCTCCGTGTTCATGCCCGCGATGCTGAAGCCGGCACGGTCGCGTTGTGCCGGCCTGCTATGGTGGGCCTGGAGCGGCGCCGGTACGCCGCCTCCCATGCTCAGCTCCGCAGTCTCGATGGACCGCGCCCCGGACGTGCCCGACGCGTGCTACGCGGCACTCGGCCTGGTTCCCCTGGACACCCAGGTGGTCCGTGCGGACATCGCAGAACGCCTCGCCGCGCGCCTGCGCAGGGCAGCCCGTCGGGAGCCGTTCGCCATCGACCCCGGAATGCTCAAGTTGGCCGCGTGCAAGCGTGCCAAGTTCGACGACATTCTCGGCGCTCTCGGCTACACGATGGTCGGCATCGGCACCGATGGCCTGCAGCGATTTGCCCGGAATAGCCTGCGCCCCCACAGGCCAGCGGAAAATGGACCCCGCAGGGGGAGAGGGGTGGACCCCGATTCTCCCTTCGCGAAGCTCAGCGTGCTTGCCACCGGTTGCGCCCGCCCGTCGTGACGCGGGACGCACCAGCTCTTGCGGTGAGCCGGCTGGACAAGTGGCTCTGGTATGCACGCTTTTTCAAGACGCGGGGGCTCGCGCAAAAGGCCTGCGAAGCCGGACGCATTCGCGTCAATGGCCGCCGCATCACAAAGGCGCACCGGACAGTCGGTCCCGGCGACGTGCTGACCTTCGTGCAGGGGAGGATGGTGAGAATCGTACGGATCCTGGAAGTGGCCGAGCGGCGCGGATCTGCGCCCGAAGCGCGGCAACTCTACGAGGAAATCGAGCAGGAGTAGGGCGCGTTTGGCCGGGCGGAGCGTACCCGGGTGGCTCTTGAGTCGGTCGCCGTCGGTATGATACCCAGCGCCCGTGATCGATCGTATCAAGACCCTCTTGCGCGGTGCCGACGCGGGCAGCGCCGGTCCAGTCGAAACCGAGGCGCCGAAGCTCGCCGCGGCAGCGCTTCTGGTCGAGGCGGCGTGCATGGATGGACATTTCGACGGCGATGAGCGCGATGCCATTTGCGCAGCCTTGGGCGCGCATTTTGGGCTTAGCGATACCGAAGCCCACACCCTGATCGATGAAGCCGAAGCCGCTCATCACGAGGCGACCGATCTTCACCGCTTCACGCGAACCATCAACGACCGATTCGACCACGAGGATCGTCTTGCAGTGATGGAGATGCTGTGGGAGGTGGTTTATGCTGATGGGCGGCTTCACGCATATGAAGCCAATCTGATCCGCCGGGTTGGCGGCTTGCTTCACATTACGGATCGGGAACGGGGAGAAGCACGCAAGCGTGTGCTCGCCCGGGTCGGACACGGAACGGAGCGATCGGCCGCCAGCTGAAGGGCCGGCAGCGGCGCACTCGCGAGCGAAGCACGGAGCACAAAGCGAATGACCTATCTGGTGATCGATGCCTGCATTCGGTGCAAGTATCAGGACTGCATCGAAGTATGCCCGGTGGATTGCTTCTATGTAGGCGAGAACATGCTGGTGATCCACCCGGACGAGTGCATCGACTGCGGCGTATGCGAGCCGGAATGTCCGGTCGAAGCGATTATCCCCGATACTGCGGGCGACGACGACTCGGACAAGTGGTTGGAGATCAACCGCAAATTCGCCGAGATCTGGCCCAATATCACGCGAAAAGGCGACCCGCCCGACGACGCTGACGACTACAAGGACGAAGAGGGCAAGTTTTCCAAATATTTTTCCGATAAACCCGGAGAAGGGGACTAATCGAGCAGGCCGGGCGGTGGAAATTGCGCCCCGGCTGTGCTATATCGGTCTCACCAGCGGCGGGGAGATCGGCGCCCGGCCCGAAGCGGCGACCGCCGAGCGGCCGCCGTTGGCGTAAGGCCCCTTGGGCACGGCCGTATCTCAATCGGACAGGGAATTGTGGACACAGTGAGCAGCAAGGCGCCGTCCAAATCGAAATCCTCCACTAAAGAGCAGTCCCCCGCCAAGACCCGAAAAGGCACCTCCGCCTCCCCGAGTACCGCAGCGCGGTCGACGGCGTCGGCGCGCACCCGGGCGGCGGCGGCGAAGGCGACCGGCACGACGGGTAGTGCTCGGCGCGGCTCTTCGCGGCGGGCATCGAAGCAGCCGGAGTCCCAGGAGGGGGACACGGTGAAGCCCCAGGCGGCGGCCAAGCGCGCGAAAGACGCCAAGGCCGCAAAATCCGCCAAGACGGTCAAAGCTGGGGGTGGGGCGAAGACCAAGCGGGCTACTAATACCAGCGCCGCGGGCAAGCCAGGCACCGCTTCTGCCGAGGCACGGCGGAAGAAGAAGGCCCCGACCGAGATCAACGGCTTCACCGTGGGTGACCATGTGGTCTATCCGGCCCACGGCGTTGGCCGGATTACCGGGATCGACGAGCGGACGGTGGGAGACCAGATCCTGCAGATGTTCGTCGTGGCCTTCGAGAAGGACAAGATGACCCTGCTGGTGCCAACCGATAAGGTCGATTCGGCCGGTATGCGCCGGTTGAGCTCGCGCGAGACCATGGACGCGGCCATCACGACCCTGCGGGGGCGGGCGCGCACGCGCCGGGTCATGTGGAGCAGGCGGGCCCAGGAGTATGAGGCGAAGCTGAACTCCGGCGATCCGGTGTCGATCGCCGAGGTCGTGCGGGACCTCCATCGCAATGTCGGCCAACCGGATCAGAGCTACAGCGAGCGCCAGATGTACGAGGCAGCGCTGGATCGTCTGGCGCGGGAGTTCGCAGCGGTGGACAATACCGATACCGAGCAGGCCGCGACCAAGCTAGAGGACGTCCTACGCGCGGCGTAGGGGTCGTCCTCCCTGCAACCAAGTGGGCTGCGCCACCAACCAACGGTTCGTGACGATCCGCAGCGGCGGACGCATCTGGGCCGTCGGCGCCATTCACGGCGAAGCGGAAAGGCTCGCCGCGCTGCACGCCGCGATCGAAGAGCGATTCCAGTCCGGCGACCGCATCGTCTACCTCGGCAACTATCTCGGCCACGGCACCCATGTCGCGGCCACCCTCGACGAGATGGTGGCCTTCCGCGGCGCGCTGCTTGCCGTGCCGCACATGGGTGTGTGCGACGTGGCGTATCTGCGCGGCAGCCAGGAGGAGATGTGGCAAAAATTGTTCCGCCTCCACCTCTCCGTCGAGCCGTCGAGCGTGTTGCGCTGGATGTTGGATCGGGGCGTGCAGCAGACTCTCGCGGCCTATGGTTGGGGGGCCGCCGAGGCGCAGGGGCGAGTCAGCAATGGCTCCCAGGAGATCGCTCGCTGGCTGAGCGAATTGCGCGTCAGGATGCAGCAGTATCCGGGACATCAGGAACTCCTTGCGAGCGTAGCGACAGGCGGCCTTTACCGACGATGGCGCCCTCCTGTTCGTGAATTCGGGGCTCGATCCGTCCCGCCCCATCGACACCCAGAGAGACGCCTTCTGGTGGGGGAGCGATCAGCTCGCGACGCTGACCCCGCCCTACGCCGACTTCAAGAAGATCATCCGCGGCTTCGATCCGTCGCAGGGGGGAGTCAGCCTGGACGACTACGTTGCGACAGTCGATGGCGGCGCGGGGTTCGGCGGAACTCTCACCGCCGCCTGCTTCGATGCCGAAGGCAGAGCGCTTGATCGGATAGACAGTCTGACGACAACCTCTGCCGTTGGTGGGGGAGGGGCACAATGTACTCTGCAAACCGAACAGCCAAAGACTTGGACGGTGTGATTAACGAGCGCATGGGAGCGGCCACGGTGTGGGCGCTGCCGGCCCGGTGGTACAGCGACCCCGAGATCTACCAGGCCGAGCGACGTCACATTTTCTCACGCCAATGGCTCTGGATCGGCCGCGAGGCGGAACTCGCCGAGCCAGGTCAATACATAACGGCGGCCCCCGCCGGGTTCCCTCTCTTCGTGCGCCGCGGCGAGGACGGTGCGTTGCACGGCTTTCACAATGTCTGCCGGCACAGGGCTTCCAAGCTGCTCACGGAATCCAGCGGGCGCTGCGACACCATCGAGTGCCCCTATCACGGCTGGCGTTATCGTTCCGACGGCGCCCTGGATCATGTGCCGCTGTTCGGCGAGGCACCGGATTTTCCAAAGGACGAGCTGTCCCTGTTCTCCATTTCCGTCGACGTCTGGCGTGGCCTCCTCTTCGTGTGCCTGGACCCGGACGCACCGCCACTCATCGAATGGCTCGGTCCGATCGAAGACATCGTCGAGCGGACCGCACCGGCGCAGGCCAGTTTCGGGCGAGAGCTGGTGTTTGTTGCCGACTGCAATTGGAAGACCTATGTCGACAATTACCAGGAGGGGTATCATATCCCCCCGCTGCACCCGGGATTGAACCGTGATCTCGACTGGAAGCGCTACAGAGTCATCAATTTCGACGGCGGCAGCCTGCATGACGGGCCGCCGAAGGATCGCTCGACCCATCCCGGCGCTTTCGGTTGGCGTTTCCCCAATTTTGCGTTCAACTCGTACCCCGACGGGCTTTCCTTCATGCGGATGGAGCCGGTCGGCCCGCGCCAGACGCGCCTCGTCTACGACTACTGGCGGCCGGACTCGGTCAGCCAAGAGGACTTCGAGGCGACGATCGCCTACGGCGTCCAGGTGTCGGAGGAGGACCAATGGATCACGCCGATCATTCAGGAGAACCTAGAGGCCGGCGTGTACGATCAAGGCCCGCTCAGCCCGCGCCACGAGAACGGCGTGCACTACTTTCACGAAATGGTGCGGCAGGCGATGGGCTCCGCAGCGTAAGGCGGCAGTCGCGCTCCATCCGCGTGACCTGGGGCGACGGCACCGCCGCGACTTTCCACCATCTCTGGCTGAGGGACAACTGCGCCTGCCGGCAGTGCCGGCATCCGGATACCCTGGAGCGCATCCTCGATCCCCTCACGGTGCCGCCAGACCTTGACGCTACGTCAGTCTCGATCACCGACGCAGGCGGCCTCCGTGTCGACTGGTCCCCCGAAGGCCATGTCAGCGACTACGACCCGGACTGGCTCAGGGCGCATCGCCATCGGGGAGGACGATGTTTCGCATTGCGAGTCGGCGCCGGTCACATGGGGTGCCGAGCTGTCGAAGTCCATGCCCGGCGCCGACTATGACGCGGTCACGGGCAGCGACAGCGGCCTCCTGCGCTGGCTCCGTTTCCTGCGCGATTCCGGTGTCGCGGTCCTGCGCGGCACCCCGCGCGAGCCGCTGAGCGTTCTCGCCCTGGCGGGTCTCATCGGCCCGGCACGGGCCACCAACTTCGGCGAACATTTCGATGTCGCCTCGAAGCCCGAGCCCACCAGCAACGCCTACACGGCGCTCGGGCTGCTGTGCCACACCGATCTGCCCAACTGGGAACGGCCACCCGACTATCAATTGTTGCATTGCCTGGAGAACGACGCGGACGGCGGCGATTCGATTCTGGTGGACGGCTTCCACGCTGCCGAGACGCTGCGCTTGCGGGAGCCGGCGGCTTTCCGACTACTAAGCCAGTCCCCCATCGATTTTCGTTTCGAGGACAGGGAGTCGGACATTCGCTTCCGCGCCCCCACCATCGGCCTGGACGAGGTCGGTACGGTGACCGAGGTACGGTTCAATTTCGCGGTGATGGACGCGATCGACGCCCCGGCGGGCCAGATGGGCGCGCTTTGCCGCGCGCTCCGCGCCTTCGCCGCAGTGATTCGCAATCCGGCATTGGAATGTCGCTATCGCCTGCGGCCGGGCGAGCTATTGGTGTTCGACAATCGCCGGGTGCTGCACGGGCGCGCCGCGTTCGATCCCTCGACCGGCCGGCGGCACCTGCAGGGCTGCTATGTGGACCGGGACCAGTTGCTGAGTCGTATTCGCGTCTGGAGCGATCTGCGCCGCTGCAATTAGAGCCAAAGCCAATCAGTTGAACTCGCGCTCCAGGGCCTCGGCGAGCTCGAAAATATCCACGCAGGCGCCGTGGTCCGCGACATTGAAGATCGGCGCCTCCGGGTCGGTGTTGACCGCGATGATGGTGTCCACGTGCTTCATCCCGGCTAGGTGCTGGACCGCGCCCGAGATGCCGAGCGCCAGGTAGAGCGAGCAGTTGCTCGCGATCGTGCCAGACTGGCCGACTTGGTGGGCCTTCGGCAGCCAGCCCGAATCCGCGACCGGGCGCGAGCAGCCGAGGGTGGCCCCGAGCCGTTCTGCGAGCGCCGCAAACTGGGGCAGGTTCTTGTCTTCCTGGACGGCGCGCCCGACCGAGAGGATGAACTCCGCCTTGCCGATGTCCACGTCGGCGGGCGGAGCGGGCAGATAGTCGATGTGGCGGCCGGTGCCCGGTACGGCGTCCAGCTCGACCGCGAACGGGACGATGCTCGCGTTGCCGGCTTCTTCCGGGGCCTTGAATGTTGCGCCCCGCAGCGTCAGCACGATCACGGGCTTGTCGGGGAAGGCGAGGTCCATTGCGACCTTGCCGCCGTAGCCGCCGCGGCTCGCGATAGGCTCAGCGCCTTCGAGCGAGAGCCCGAACACATCGGATGCAAAGCCTGAGCCGAGGCGCGCGGCGACTGCCGGCCCAAAGGCCATGCCGGCCGCGGTATGGCCGATCAGCACCAGTCGCGCCTGCCTGGCCTCGGCGACAGTGCAGACCGCCTCTTCATAGAGCGCGGGATCGAAATGCGAATCGGGAGAGGCCACGGTGACGATCTCGTCTACCCCTTCCCGGTTGGCGGCGTTGGCGAGCGCCTCGGCGTCATGACCGATGACGACGACGGTCAACGGCCCGCCGAGGCCATCCTTGATCGAAGCGGCAGCGCCGATCATCTCCAGCGTGACATCGCGCAGCAGTCCATCGAAATGCTCGGCGACGACGAGGATGCCGGTCATCACACGTCTCCCCGCTTTTCTCGAACGATCTCGGCGATGGCCTTGGCGATCGCGGCCGCATCGCCTTCGATCATCGCCGCGCGCCCGGACTTGGGCGGCTCGTACAAGCGGCGCACAACGGCACCGGCCTGATCGAGGCCCACGTCCGCGCCATCCACTGCGGCGATCGGCTTCTTCTTGGCCTGCTTGATCATGCGCATGGTGGCGTAACGCGGCGTGTTGCCGCCGGTCTGGACGGTGAGCAACGCCGGCGCCGGCAGCGCGATCTGCTGGCGCATGCCGCCTTCGAGCTCGCGGGTGACGGTCATCGCGTCGCCGCCGTCCCATTCGACGCCGAGAACGACGGCCGCGTGGGGCAAGCCGAGGATGCGGGCGAGCGCGGAGCCCGTGGCGCCATGGCCGAGATCGGCCGACTGTGCGCCGGTCAGCACGATATCCGGTGTCTCCTGCGCGGCGACTCCGGCCAGCACACGGGCGATGGTCACCGGGTCGGCGTCGCGCAAGGTCTCGTCCCACACCCTGACCCCCCGGTGGGCGCCCTTGGCGAGCGCGCGGCGCAGGGTGTCCTCGGCATCCTCCGGGCCGATGGTGACGGCGACCACCTCGCCCGCGCCGAGCCGTTCGGTCAGCAGCAGTGCTTCCTCCAGTGCCGCCTCGTCCCACTCGTTCAGCTCGTGCTCGAAATGCTCGTCCGCAATTGAGCGCGCCTCCTCGTCGATGGCGAAGTCCGCATTCAACTCGCCGACACGCTTGACCGCGACTAGCACGCGCGGGGCCTTCCTTCGCCGGCACCTCGTAGGGAGGCAGCGTCGCCGCGCTGACCGGCGTCGGGCGCCACGGGCCGGCGGCGGGCGCCGGTGACTCCTGCACCTCGGCCTCGGGCGCAGGAGCGGGCTGCGGCGACGCGGCAGCAGCAGCGACCGGAGGCGCCCGGTCGGCAAGCTCGCCCAGCACGCGCTCGGTAACGGCGTCGGCGAGGCGGTCGGCCAGCCGATCCGTCACGGCATCGGCGATGCGGACCGCCGCAGCCTCGGTGATGCGATCCACGAGCGCCGGCACCTCCTTGAGGTCGATGCTCTTCAGATCGATCGCCTCCGCGACCAGCTCCGCCAGGTCCTGGACGACGAAGTCGCCCTCGTGGCCGCTGGTCTTGCGGGCGTCCTCAAACATGGTCATGTCCTTGGGGCAGCAGACGACGAAGGCGTCGAGATTACCGAGAGACGCCGCCTCGTGCATCCGGTTCTCGGAGGGCCGCTCCTTGCCGACGGGATCAGGGCATCCAGATGCGCCCGCCGCCGGCGCCGCAGCAGAACGAGTTGTCGCGGCAGCGCGGCATGTCGATCAACTCGCAGCCGATGAGCTCCAGCACCCGGCGCGGCTCGTCGTAGTGGCCGTTGAGCCTGCCGAGATGGCAGGGGTCATGGAGTGTCACCCGTATGCCGAGAGGCTTCACGACCGTGAGGCGCCCGCTCTCCAACAGCTCCGCGAGGACGCTCGTGTAGTGGCGGATCGGCGCGACATCGCCGAAGTCGGGATACTCGTTGCGGATGGTGTTGTAGCTGTGGGGATCGGTCGTCACGATCGCGTCAAACTGCTGCGCCGCGCCCATCGCCGTCAAATTGTGTTCGGCAAGCGATTCGAAGAGCCCTTCCTCGCCGACCCGGCGCACGTCGTTGCCCGCGGTCCTCTCACTATCGTAGAGCAGGCCGAAATCGAGACCGGCGGCGCGGAAAAGTCGCGCGACGGTGCGCGACACGTCCTGGTTGCGCGGGTCGTAGGAGGCGTAGTCGCCGACGAACCAAAGATGCTCGGCCGGCTCGGCGCGGATGTCCTTGACCGGGAACTCGAGCGCCGCGGTCCATCCGCCGCGGCTGCGCGGGCTTTCGCCGAAGCTGTTGCCGCGGTTGGCGATCATGTCGAGGGTGTCGCGGAGCTGCTGGTCCATGGCGCCTTCCTCGACGAGCTGGCGCCGCATTTGCACGATCATCGGTGGGTGCTCGATACCGACCGGGCAGATCTCCATGCAGGCGCCGCAGGAGCGGCATGCCCACAGTGCTTCCGCCTCGATCACGTCGCCGATCAGCGCCGGGCCATTCGCTCCCGGCCTGAAGGCGCTGCGCGCGGCATGGGCGCGCAGGTCGAGGATCAGGTCGCGCGGGCTGAGCGGCGCGCCACTGGCGGTGGCTGGGCAGGCCTCGTGGCAGCGGCCGCACTTGGTGCAGGCGTCGAAGTTCAGCAGATCTTTCCACGAGAATTGACCGATGCTGCCGATCCCGACGTCGGGCTCTGCGTCCTCCGCGGCGGCCGCGACGGCAAGCCTGGGCAGGCGGCGGAGGGCGAGGGCGTCGCGGGTCGACAGCGAACCCAGCACCGCGATCAAATGCTTCGCCTTGGTCCAGGGAATCGCCGCGATGAAGGCCAATGCCGCGACACCGTGAATCCACCAGTTGGCCCGGCGCACGGCAGCAGCCCCCGCCTCGTCCATGCCTAAGCCCAAGAAAGATCTGGGCGAGCACCCAGCCGACCGGCGACCAGGGTCCCCAGGCCGGTTGATCCATGGCGAGCCGTCACCCCTTCCTGGAGGAAGCCGGTCACCCCGATCAGGAGCAGCGCCCAGAGGAACAGCGCGTCGTCGCGCAGCCAAGCGCGCGCGCCCGGCCGCTCCTCGGTCTCGCCGCGGTACTCCCGCCTGTAGACGAGCTTCGCAGGCCGCACCTGCCAGCGGCGCCACATCATGTAGACAACGCCGGCGATCAGCCCGAGACCGGCGAGGTCGGCGATCAGGCTGAAGGCGAGATAGAAGGGGCCATGCCAGAAGGTGAAGCCGAAGAAGGGCTCCGAGATGTCGTACTCGACCGTGATGATGCTGGTGGCGGCGAGCAGCAGGAGGAAGCCGTACATGATCGGCGTGTGAGCGTGGCCTGCGGCGCGGTCGCGCCGGCGCACGGTCCGCTGGGAGAAGACGTCGAACACCATGCGCCAGAAGCCGCGCCATGGATGGACAGGGACCGGGTTCCGGCGAGCACGGGCGTAACGGAAGATGTGCCAGGCGACGCCGGCCGCGCACACGGCCATTGCAGCCCCCGCCACCACGAAGAAGAGCGTGTGGCCGAGGGAGGTGATCTCCCAGAAGAGCTCGCGGGTCTCCACAGGCTCACCCGGCCTCTGCTATGTCCTAGCCGCCGAGATACACCTTGCGGACGTGCTGGTCGTTGCGGATCTGCTGTGCCTCGCCTTCCAGCGCGACGCGGCCGGTCTCCAGCACATAGGCGTAGCGCGCGAGCTTGAGCGCAAGTTCCGCATTCTGTTCGACAAGCACCACGGGCACGCCGCGGGCGTTGATGTCGACGATGATCTTCGCGATCTCCTGCACCATCACCGGCGAGAGGCCGAGGGAGGGCTCGTCGAGCAGCAGCAGCCTGGGCCGTGCCATGAGCGCACGACCGATCGCCAGCATCTGCTGCTCACCGCCGGATAGCGTCTTGCCGTATTGGGTGCGCCGCTCCTTGAGGCGCGGAAAGCGCTCGTAGACGTTTTCGAGGTCCTGCTTGATCCCCTCCTTGTCTCGCCGGAGGAAGGCACCTGTGTTCAGGTTCTCGTAGACGGTGAGTTCAGGGAAGACGCGCCGCCCCTCGGGCACGTGGGCGATGCCTCGCTTGACCACCGCGTCGGCCGGCAGCGTGTCGATGCGCGCGCCATCGAACCAGATCTCGCCCCGACTTGCGCGCACGAGGCCCGAGACCGCGCGGAGCGTCGTGCTCTTTCCCGCGCCGTTGGCCCCGATCAGGGTCACGATGTCGCCCTCGTCGACCTCCATCGAGACGGCGCGGAGTGCCGTTACCTTGTTGTAGTGGACCGTCAGAGACTTGATCTGAAACAGCATTCAGACTGTTCCCAGATAGGCTTCGATCACCGCCGGGTCGGAGCGGATCTCGATGGGCGTTCCTTGCGCCAGCAACTCGCCGAAGCTCAGCACCGTGATACGGTCGCAGAGGCCCATGACCGCCTGCATGTCGTGCTCCACGAGGAGAATGGTGACACCCTGGCTACGCACGCGCTCCACCAGCACCATCATCTGCCGCGTCTCTTCGGGGTTCATGCCGGTGAAGGGTTCGTCCAGCAGGATAAGTTTGGGCTCGGCGGCGATCGCGACCGCGATGCCGAGAGCCCGTTGGTGGCCGTGCGGCAGGTTGACTGTCTCGTCGTCGCGGCGGTCGCCCAGGCCCATGAACTCGAGAATTTCGGCAGCTCGTACTTCCGATGCTCGCTCGGCGCGCCGGCTGGTGCCCAGCAGCGCGCCAAACGGCCCCACCTGTGACTGCATGTGGCAGCCGATCAGCACATTCTCGAAGACGGAGAGCTCCTGGAAGAGCGTCGTCGCCTGGAAAGTGCGGACCACGCCCCGCGCCGCAATCCGGCTCGGGCGAAGCCCCGAGATTCTGCGTCCGCCGAAGAGGATTTCGCCGGCGGTCGGCTTGTAAAAGCCGCTGATGACATTGAAGGTCGTGGTCTTGCCGGCGCCGTTCGGGCCGATCAGCCCGTGGATCTCGCCTTCGTCGACGATGAAAGAGAGATTGTTGACGGCAGCAAGGCCGCCGAAGTGCCGGGACAATTCGCGAACTTCAAGCAGGCTCATCGGCGTCGCCGTGGGTCGGACTCGCTATCGTGACGCGAGGAAGCCTAACCCCGCGCCGCCCGCCGCGCCATAGAAGATCGCTGCCGGCGGCCACGCGGCTCGAAGATGCGCGTCGGGCCGTTCAGCAGCCAGTGGCCGCCCGCAAGCCGTGCCCCAAATCGGACTGCAGGTCGGACTCGGCTTCGAGGCCGACCGAGAAGCGCACGAGGCCGTCGCCGATCCCGAGCGTGGCACGGGCATCGGCGCCGATCTTCTGATGCGTGGTGCTGGCGGGGTGGGTGGCGAGGCTCTTGGCGTCGCCCAAGTTGTTCGAGATATCGATCAGCTCCAGCGAATCGAGAAAGCGGAAGGCGGCGTCCCACCCGCCCGCGAGATCGAACGCGATCACGCTGCCGCCCCGGCTCATCTGCCTCGCTGCGAGCGCGTGCTGGGGATGGCTCGGCAAGCCCGGGTAGTGGACGGCGGAGACCGCCGGGTGGCTTTCAAGAAACGCAGCCAGTCGCGCGGCCGTCTCACACATGCGCTCGATGCGTAGCTCCAGCGTCTCCAGCCCCTTGAGCATGACCCAGGCATTGAAGGGGCTCATGATCGGACCTGTGGTGCGTATGAAGGGCACCAGATTGTTCGCGAAGAAGTCGTCGCGGCCAGATGGCACCGCCGAGGCAGCGGCCCTGGCCGTCGATGTGCTTGGTCGTCGAATAGACCACGATGTCGGCGCCGAGGGCGAGGGGACGCTGGATCATCGGCATGCCGAGCACATTGTCCACGATGACACGGGCGCCGACGCGGTGGGCCAGCGCCGAGACCGCTGCGATGTCGACGATCGCCATGGTCGGGTTGCCGGGGCTTTCGAGGAAGACGCAGCGGGTCTCCGGCCTGAGCGCGCGTTTCCAGGCGTCGAGATCGGTGCCGTCAACGAGGTCGGTCTCGATCCCGTAGCGGGGCAGGAGTTGGTCGATCACCACGTGGCACGCGCCGAACATGACCTGGGAGGCCACGACGTGATCGCCGGCGTGGAGTTGGCTCATGAGCGCCGCGAAGACCGCCGCCATGCCGCTCGCCGTCGCCTGGCAGGCGTCCGCGCCCTCGATCAACGCGAGGCGATCCTCGAACATGGTGATGGTGGGATTGCCGAAGCGCCCGTAGACGTAGCCCGCCTCTTCGTCCGCCGTGCGCGCGTTGCCCTGCGCGGCCGTGTCGTAGACAAAGCCCGAGGTCAGGTAGAGCGCCTCGTTGGTCTCGCCGTGATGCGAGCGGTCGATCCCGCCACGCACCAACTGGGTCGCGGGTGCCCACGCCCGCTCGCGTTCCTTCCGCCCCATATGCAAAAACCCCGGCCGCGCTGGCCGGGGTCCCTCCCTTCGACCTTTTAGCGCGCTTGTTTAGCGTGGCCGCAAGCTGGTCGCTCAAATCGCCACGTTCGTGAACTAGAGACCACGGCAGCCCGCGCGTCAAGGCTTTGGGTTGTCAACTGTGGTTCAGTCTGAACTGCGCCCAACGAATTTGCCGAGCGTCGGCCAGTCGCGCCAGATGTCCAGCATCGAATCGACGCGGTGATTGGCCAGTCCGCGCACCGAGAGCCGGAAAAAGCACATGTAGCGAATGTCACCGGACAGGTTCGGCGATGCGGCGTGGGCGAGCTGGTAGTGGGCGAGGACGATGTCGCTGACTTCCCCGTGATGGGTATGGGGCGCGGAAGACGAATCCCGGATGCCGTCACGTCGCCCCGTTCGAGGGAATGGACGCCGTGAACCCGGAAATGCAGCTCGAGCTTCAGGTGCGTGCCGGGCCAAACGTAAAGTTTCCGCTCAGGGGCTCATCCGCGTCGCTCAGCATGACGCCGAGCAGAAGCGTGAACCCATACACGACACCGTCGTCCGATAGCCGTTGTACGGCGTGTGGTAGCCGTCCAGGTGTGGAGCATCGAGCGTGCGGGGCGTTCCTTCGGGCCGTGGAAAGCGCAGGGCGATCTGGCACTCCCTGGGCCTCTCCACGCGGCGATCCCCGACCAGCGAGCGCACATACGACCAGGCCCTCGGGTTCGTCGCAAGGCGAAGCAGCCGCGGGTCCTCCACGAGCTCTTCGCAAAACGACTGAGCGTTCATGCGCATGGCGACTGCCGCGCTGTCGATACACAGCACAAGAATGATGATGGACGCGCCGGGCGCGGCGGACGAGACTTGTCGGAACCGCAGACACGCTACTGCCGCATCCTTGCTGCACGAAGAACCGCTTCTCGGCATCGGTGAGCGGATCTGCCGACCCTGAGTGAGGTCCTTTCATACGCTGCAGTCCTCTCCGGGCGCGTCCCTCCACACGGAACGTTGGCCGTGCCTGAAGCCGGGCGCTATAGTGCGCGCGGCCCGGCGGCGACTGGGTGGGGCCGCCTCAGCGCGGCCGGTCGGAGCGTGGCGCAGCCTGGTAGCGCACTTGACTGGGGGTCAAGGGGTCGGCGGTTCGATTCCGCCCGCTCCGACCATTTATACCGCGGACAGCGCGGTGAGTAGTCAGCACGCGCCACGGTGCGGCACGGCAGGGGATGATGCGGCGGCCCGACAGAACTAGAACCCTCGACCCCTTGGCCGCTTGCAAAACTCACAGTCGATTCGGGGCGGCGCAAGAACACCGAAGTTAGCATCCTTGGCGGTGCATGAGAAGGGGCGTTATTTCGTCGCCGATTGTGGTCGAATCTGCGCTGAGTCAGCCGCCGATTCGGTTTCTTTGTAAAACTGCGGGCGCACTTGTCCGGCCCGTCTCTCAAGAGGCGCGGCTATGGTGACGGCGAAGGAGGCGAGCTGGATCAGATCGGCGGAACCATGAAGCGCATAAGTTGACTGACCGCCAGCGCGGTAATGCCAAACATGACGTGAGTGAGCACCTTCTTGTAGCCGCGAACGCGCACATAACGACCGCCGAACTCATCCTTGAACCGCCCATTGAGCCGCTCGGCCCGTCGAGCGCTCGGCGTAGCGATCCTCCTCTGGAAAGACGAGACCGAGCGTCCGCCGCGCCCCTCTTCTCAGCTTCAACAGCCTCTTGCATGTCACGACCGAGCGCGGGGTGTTCACGTCGAATGATCGCTTGTGGCCAAGCAACGATGCAGTGCGGCCGGATCTCGATGGAATCATAAGCCGCGTCCATAATGTCGTAGAGGTTCTCCGACCTCCCGGCCCGGCGCAGGGTTCCCAACGGAATCGCCACCTGGAGTCATGCGTCGATGCCGAGTCAGCACGCAACTGATGGGATCGCGCATCGGCCCGTGTCGATGTGCAGATTTGTAGCCTGATCCACTCTCGACCTAGCCCCCTTGGCGTTCTTCTTCATCCCGATGTCACAGACTTCGGCAAGTCCTCCAGCATTTGCGGCATGTGGCCTCGTCAGTTCCGTTCGTTCCAGCCGGCTCGGCTTCCGTCGCCCGCTCCTCCCCTTGCGTTGACGCCCCCGGCCGTGCGCGCCGTCTTTCTGCTTCGCTGCCTTCGGCGCCGGCTTCTCCCGGCGCTGGCGATAGCCGTCGCATCGCGCGAGATTGCCCTCCACCAATGGCCAT